CTGCATGATCAGGTTAGCGCTGCTTATCCACAAACGCTCCGGCCAACCGGGACCACAGACATAAACTTTACAGGGAAGACAGACACAGAGCCACACGCTGTACAGCGTGTTGAGATGTAGACGCCGCATATAATTGTTCGTTCACAAAGATAAATCATTCTCACCACTCCACAACGCGACCTCTGAATTTGCTTCAAGTTATTCCTGCGGTTCACATTGAGCTGCGCAACCAGAGCTAACGCGGTGGGTTTAAAACTCTTACCTAGAGTTCTCCAAAGGATCATAATTCCTCACAGTAAGTTGATGTAAATATCCATACAGGTCAGCCTGTGTCCAGTTTGAGTGAAAGGAGGTGCTAACCTGCTTATAATACACTTATAATACACTGGAGGAAACCCTGAAGTGGGCTGTTAGGGTGACTGGGACCCATCATTAGTTTGTGGTCGTCACACTACAAACACAAACCTGACCCATACAAATGAATGCATAACTTTGGAGTCAAAGTCCAGACCGAAGTCTGAGACGAGACCTGAAACTGTTCAGACACGCTTCAGTCAATGCGACTGAGCTTGAGAAAAGAATGGGTCTCTCTAGCTCACCAGCTTTGATTTAGGAGTCTTTTGACAATATATTTATACCTCTGGCTCCACTCTCCCATCCGTGTATTCCTCTACAGAGGAGTGGAGGAAAAAAACTGACCAAATTTGTGCTGGATAAGCCTTCAGACTTTTAGGAGTGCACCCATTAGTTTAGCCTCTGTTAGTGACAGTCAGGTCTCCTCCTTACCTGCCGGAGTGTACTTACATACTGTGCTGCGCTGCATTCAAATAAACCAAACCTCAATGCCAGGGAGTACTGATGTATTGTATTCAGGACACTAATGGGGGATTTACTGTTCTTTCCCAAACTTGTAGAGAAACAGAGAGGGCTATCTAGGGAAGGAATGTGAGGTTTACTGAGAGAAGGTTTTTACTTTCTGGTCAGAGGTTTCCAGTTCCGTCATTGTGAATATTAATGTTAAAAAAAAGCTCAATAATGCATTTTAACAATGCTTTCATTAATACACAACAAAAAAATCTGATTTATTTTAAAAAGACTTGCTTTATTCATTTAAAAAAAACTGTCTTTAGGCTGCAATTATCATTTAATCATCTAAAAATAATTGGCACATTCTGCAAATTTTTCATTTAACTACTGAAGCCCTTTCATTCAATACCAGAAAAACATTAAAATATGCTAATAAATAAATAATTCAATTCCGTTTGAATTAAACTTAGCATTTTTCTAGTGCTATGTGTGATCACTTGCTGCAAAGGATGCATCTGCAACCACAAAAAATACTTCTAACAATAAGGAGGGGGCAGCATTATGCTGAGGGACAGCATCATTGCCAGTGGTACTGCTGCACTGTTCAGAGCTGAGGAAACAATGACTGAAGGCTAATTCCAAATTCATGGATGTTTCAAAAGGAGCATAATCTAAGACATCCATTAATTCTAGTCTGAAAAGATGAGGACTCATGGGATTTGCCATTTCTAATAAGAGTCTCAAATGGTTGCTAGTTGATGGCAACATAATGCTCAATGATCCAACTTCCTAAGGGACATCTATCCAAATGTTCGTGGAGGTGTTTTTCTCTTTTACTCTCTCTGTAAATGACAGAAAACTAACAATACAATCCAGCTTCTACACAAAGTTCTTGGTTTAAAAAAAATTTCATCATGACTGGAAAAGTTTCAAAGTCTTAAAACTGATTGACTTGTGACGTTTTGGTCAAATATAAATGTAATAAGAAGAAAAGCTACACCTTCAAATAGTGGTAAATAAATGCATTGTGTGTTTCTGTTTTGAAAGGCCTGAACAGCCGTCCTGTCTTGTTTGTGTGTCCGTCTGTGTGTGTGTCATACCAACACCCTGGGGAGCGAGGATCTGTATGAAGCCGGCAGATAAGGTGATAAGGACCACAGGGCAGGCGACCCAGGCCAGGTACTGCAGGAACACGTTACTGTCCAGACTACCATACATCCACTTCTGTGCTGTTGAAACAGGTGTGTAAAAAACAACAAAATCAGAGCAGCAGCACAGACACAGGAGGGAGGTTCTATATTCATGCAGGGTTAGACTGTGTGGGAGGAACAGGCCTCTTGGTTTACTTAAAAACAAGCAGGTTGAATCCAGTTCAGCACCAACCATAAACAAACAGATCTCTGTTAGTTTATTTTACCTTTACTTAATTTAGAAGTTCATTTTAATTAGATAATATCCTGCTAGATTTCAAACTAGGTCTACAATCTTACCTCATTTTCTAGTGTTTATCCACATAAACCTCCCATTATCCATCCTGACGTTTATGACTACTCGAATATTTCTGCTCACTTACCTTTGACTTCTAATTTATCCAGGTTTATCTTTTATGAACTTATCTTATGATGCAGTATCCCAACAAGATACGTCCAATCACATTTATCAGTACTTTCTTATCCTAGGCATCAACTTCCATTGGGTTTTGAAAAGGCTTCAGAGTAACTACAATATTCTACAAACTCTTTATTTCACATCACGTAACCATGATGGATATGAGTTTTGATCCAGGTGAGAGACTGCCTTATTCAAAGTGATCAAGACACTAATTTCCATCACCCTTAAGACTACTCCTGTTACTTACTCAGCAATAAAGTGAAAGGCTTGCAACATATTCCAAAGTGAAGATGACTTGTGTTGGCAGGCCTGAAATTGTTCTCTATTAGGCAAAAAGTAAAATCTAAGTCTTTCAAATTGGTTGTCAAGCCTCAACATATTGATCACAGACATTCGAGTTTAACAAGAACTTTAAATACGACAAGTAGAGCATTTTGCTGATAAAAGCCTCCTCTACTCCCTCACCCTTTAGGCAGAGAGCAATGCCGATGTCTACCACCCAGCTGATGATGCCTGTTACCAGTCCAAGCAGGATCAGGAAGATCCATTCCTCTCTGACTAGTGAGATCAGGAATTTTTGGCAGCGAACTGTGCAACCTGCAGGAAGACAACAGAACATGTTAGTTGAGGGGCATTACCCAGATCAGAGCCGTGTTTCAGTCCAGGAATTAGTTGATATTGAAAAGCACATTCCCAAAAACTAAGTCAAACTGTACCTGCATTTGGAGTGTTAAAAACAGCTGTGTACTGAACTGATGAAGAATTAGTTTGTATTCATCAGGCAGACATTACCTGACCTCCCTGCTGGTCATGCATATTTCCATGATTAGTTAGTTTTCCACCATATAAAGTTAAGAATATGCTTGTGGCCTGACAAAATGTGAAAAGTTCAAGGAGTGTGAGTATTTTTGCCAGGCTTGATGGTTTAAGACACAGTTAAATATGCTGCACCCAACTAACTCAGTTCTGGTACAATGTATAACAGAAATACTAATCATGACCAATTGCTGGAGCTGAACATTAGCTTGACTGTGAAATGGAGCAGTCTCATTAGCATGTGCTCAGACAGTAGGATTTATACATTTCTCCACGGCAGGGATAAAACATGACATTTAGAAAAATGTTGCCGCATCTTTTAGCAGGTTTTCACTTATCTAAAGAAAAAAAGAACCTTCATACTCCCCTCAGTAGAAGAAGATAGCAAAATCAATAGTCTGAGTGCAGCAGTATTCATAATTTATTACAGCTATCGCTCCCTTTTCTCTCTGAGCCAAAGAACTCTGCTTAAATGCCACTACTCTGCAACCATTTGCTCTGTGATCATGAATGGAAAATTTTAATGCTTTTGTCAATGCTTTTCAATCAGATAAGATAAAAAGTCAATTTGATTCTAACAAACTGGACTTTTACCATCTTGTTACTTTCCTATAATAACATTCATGGTGCATTCATTCAGTCAAATGCAAAGGATGCAGCAGAACTGCACACCACAATGAAAAAACACTAAATGATGATGTTCTTGGTGAAAATTGAACATCATACTGATCAGCACCTCTCCTCTCAGGGGTTAGCACCTCAGCCAATATCATCAACATCAGTTTTATGCATTAAATTAGTAATCCTTTGTGGGGATACTGCTTGCATGGAAATTATGATGACAATGAATTGATTGTGCAACTCTGTTATTAAGCGATGCAAAATAACCAAATAAACCTTGCTGTTCATTTGTTTCATTTAACAAAGAGAAGAGCTTTCATTAATGAATGGTGATTATTTTCTTGTCCAATCTGGGGAACTTTAAACTCTTTGCGGAGCTGCTGGGGTTGTCATGGGAGCTTGGTTCTCCGGTCCACAAGCCTTAAGAAGGCCTGCTGCTCGGCACCCGGACATATTTGATATTTTTAAAGGACCATTTTGATCTTGCATAACCAAACTAAGAATCGTGACCATATTCTGTCAGAAAGTTGGACGTGGTTCCAGTGCAGATTGGACTCCGTCAGAGCTCTTCTTTGTTCTGTTTGTGGCGGTCCGAACTTGCTGAAGGAAATGACTGAAGCACCATAGGATGCCCCATTTTGAAATGTATAAATAATTTTTAAGGAATGTTTTCTTATTTTCTGAGTGTAAATCAGAAAATAAGTTTTTTTTATTAATCAGAAGTTAATAAAAAAAAAAAACAGCATAAAAAACATTTGAAAGTCCTGTGCATGCAGTCATTCTGATGGTAGAGAAGGGAAAATACAGCCGTTGAAGGGGTGAATGGGCTGATACTGCAGGGATTGGAAAGAAAACCACATGCACACATTCTCCAATTAACACCATGAGCTGTGAACTGAGGCAAAAGCTGTTAAAAACGCTTCCACTATCACAGAGTTTTGCCTGTGCTTTCCATCACTCCATCTCCAATTTTGTGACAGATCAGAGGAACAGGCCTTGTACATGAGTATATTTAGCTTTATGTGTTATGTGAGTGCATGTGTGCACACTTGTGCGTCATCTCACCCACGGGCCGTCTGTGTTCCTACACCCCTTCTGTCATCCAGTCAATGTAAGAATAGTGTGTGTGTGTGCGTGTGTGTGCGCGTGTGTGTGTGTGCGTGTGTGTGTCAGCATGCACACATGCAGGCATGACTTCCTTGTGCTTCTGGGCAGAGTGTCTATGTGCCTTTACAACATCAAGTGTAATTTGGGCTGTTTGGATGTTTAAATTCATTAGCTTACGGTCCTTGATGGCTTTTCCGCACAGGCACAGAATCACAGCGGTCCTACAGACTAGTTGCTGCCTTTATTCTTCATGGCATGCAATAAGCAGCATGCTCCTTCCCAGTGACTCTTATTGCCAGAGTCATCCCATGTATCCTCCCCCGATCCCTTCATCCATCTTTTAATCACATTCAACCTCTGACTTGGCTTCTAAGCTCCACATCTCCCTCTCTTTCTCTTGCAGGTCTTATTTGAAACTCTTAACTCCTCATTTATGCTGTCTTTCCTTTCTCTGCACTGCTTCCTTCTTTTCCTTTTTTAGTCTTACATGTGCACTTGCTCAATCTCTCCTCACCAAGAGACATAGTGCCCACAAACCTGCTGAGACTAATTTAGGTTGCCTTGGATACACAATGCATCAAGCTCCTCTATCTGACATTAGGGAACTGCACTAGAGAGCAGCCTACGTCACTCCCGTCTATATATTTTTTCTCAAATTAAAAAACTATGGCTGGACTGAAACATCTCCAATCAAACAATTGCTAACAATTTATCTGAGCATTTCAGATAAAGTTGTGGGGTGCAGATTTAATGCGGCATGTAAACATCTGCACACCTAGAATAGGTCTTTGCAACAGCAGACTGCGTTTGCATGACCTTTAGGCAGAACAAAACCATTTTGGAAACCAACACTGGTCCCATTCTGCTGTGATTTTACTGTGAAAATGAGGAGAATAGAAAAGCAGAGTGAACACACACCTCTGAAGACCAACACTACCGGTGCAGATTCCTCATTACTGCTTCCACTGAAAACCCAATTATTCAAATCAGCCCTTCATGTATTATGCAAGGTGACAGCCTTCTAAGGGTGTAAAAGGCCTAAAAGGCTGACCATTAATACACCAATTTTGCTCGGTCATGCCAATGAGGCATGCTCCCTCTTCGTGTCTATGTGGCTCCACATTCATTATGGAGCTTCATGCATGAGGCAGAGATTCAATTAGAAACGGCTCGCTGTGTTTAAAACCACCTGCTTAATTAGATCAGGAGGAGCACAGATAGACAAACGCCACCGTTTGGATCATTTGAGTTTTAAATGCCAATGCTGACCGATACAGGATGGATTCAACTGAAACTGATGCTTGGCGCCAATATACTCACACGTGCACACGCGCACACACACCCACGCAAGCACACGCACGCACACACACGCACACACATAAGTTAAAGATTTTTCATAAATTGTCAAATTATCTTCAGGATTTTTACAAATATTGTCCTTTCCGAGTTGCATCAGATTTTAAATTAACCAAGTACAAGTAAAAAAAGAAGAAGCAGTTCAAAATAAAAGAGCTGCAAAACTAAAAGAAGTTTGGATTGCCTAGTGCTCATGGATAAACATGCACTTCTATTCAGATCATTTTTGAGCACATCTGTGTTTCACTCAAAAATAAATAGTTTTTTACTGCAGCCTTATCGGGGAAGATAATGTGATGCTAATAAAATGTCCACAAGCAAAAGAAGAAAGCCAAAGATCTCATCAGAATGTTCAGAATGTATCATTTTTTGTACGCTTGCTTAAAATTTTAAAAAGTAGATCTCTTCTGCATGTATTTTTTGTTTTTTTCTGCTCATGATCTGACCAGCCGTTTCTGTCGTCTGCAAATCCCGCATGCTCAAAAACATCTAAGCTCCACACGATTCTAGATGTGCCTAGTGGGTCGCTACGGATGACAAAATTTACATCATACGGTCTTCGTGTTCCAATAAACAGTAGCAGCTCAACATAAAGATTTGAATGAGATTTTAGAAATGACAAGCATGGATTGGTTTGTAAGTATTCTATAAAAGCTCTTGCTACAAGAACCCAGATTGGTTCAGAGAGTTTGCCTCTTTAAAGATTCCTCCAGACCTAGCTCATCCTAAATAAAGCAAAGAATCAATGCAATTTCAGTGAAAAATAAACTAATTCTGTAAACGAGTCAATGCAGAACAGGGGAAAAATAAATAAACAAGAATGGAGATTACTAAATAATGGAAAGAGCTTACAAAACAAATTGGTCCCTAAGGACAACAAAGAAATGTCCTCAGAGAAATAAAGATACAAAAACAAATATGAATCTGTAAATTTTTGTTCTGCTACTTAATGAGACCATCGTCATTCCTGTGAACCTGCAACTGTAACATCTCCATCTCTCCCATCTCGTCCTCCCGACTCGTCTATTCATTAATCCCTCTATCCATTCCTCCTCCGCTCCCTCTTTCGTGTTGATGTGTTCTCTATGCTAATAAGATGAAAAGGGAGGGGATGCTTATGTAAATGTTCTGTAGCAGCCACTGCGTCGGCCCCCAGCGAGCAGCCAAAGCGTCTCGTCTCGCGCTCAATCACTCGCCGAGTAACGACTGTTGTGGCACCAGTCTTATGGCTGCAGAACAATGTCTGCTTAATGAGGTGGAATGGTGTGTCTGCACGGACACACATGCACCACCAGACCGGAGGCGGGGACAAATCCGCCACCTTATTATGATACATAAACAGCTTGGGTGTCCTTTCTTAATTGCAGGCTTTAGGGTGTGTGTTTAAGTCGTCTATAGGAGGGCAACATTAAACCTACGTACCAAACCAGGTCGTCTTTCCTCAATTTAAAGCTTAAGCAGAGCAAGGATGACTAATGCCTTGCAATACATATTAAAGATGCTTTCAAGAAGTAAACAGTTTCTGCTCTGGATCCAAAATCTCATTAAAGGAGGATTATCACATGCTAAACACCAAATGCTATAATCGAAGTTTCCTTCATTTTGCTTGTTAAGGAGCGCCTTAACACTTCTGCATAACTTTGAATTTTTAATACTTGTAGTGATTAATATTTGCTTTTGTGACTTATACTCTCATGAGAAAAATCTGTCTCCAAAAATACAAGTTTGTTGCACTGGAGGAAATGTGGCTTTGAGATGTTTTTCTATTCAATCACTTCTGAGGTGATGGCAGAGATGACACAGTCAGCATGAAAACCTGCTGGTCCAACCGTTAATGTTACAGCGGTTATAGTCTGAAACTGTACCATAATGTCTTCAAACCAGAGAAAGTTTGCTACGTTCACAGATATTCAATAAATAATGCTTATGAGGCATATCTCAATAAAGGATTAATCACACAGAGTAACAACAGCTGAGAGGCCTTCTCTCCTAAAAATCGATTAATGATTTAGTGGTGATTGTACTGCAGAACATAAATACTTTAAAACCTTCAAATATTACTTTGAATAAAGAATTTTCTCCCTCTTTTGCCATAGGCGGCTGTTAAAATATGACGTAAACTTTAGAAAGGTTTTCTAGCCTGTGTTCGCTCAAAGTTTTATTTATGTCCTTTAACATCTCAGAGTCTACCACATTGACATTTCATGTCTGTCAAGTAGGACAAAATTAATGCTTAGGAATGGAGTTTGATTACAAATTGATTCAACTATTGATGAGCACAATTATCCTGTCTCCAAACAAAAAGAGCAATAAGCACAGCACCAGTAGAGTGCTACTCTGCTATTTCACATTAAATTGTTGCCCACATGCAGCTGCAGTGTTATTGATCTTTGTGTGCAGTGTGCGAATGTTTATAAAACGCAATAAAGTAAGCTTAATTTGAATGTCCTTGGCTGCTGAGCAATACAACCAACTTAAAGCTGAGATTTACAGCAGATAACAGGAACTGATCAATGAATTTGTTGTCAAGGTTGTGGATGCCATTATCAGTTAAACAATTGGGCAATGTACTTTGGGAGTGATCCGAACTATGGAAATATTATTTTAGTTGACCAAAC